ATAAAATATTAAAAAAATATACTTAATTTTTCGAAAAATAAACTCAACTTTTTGAAACTTAGTAAATGCTATGCAATTATATACGATTTCATAATATTTTAAAAAATTACTAAATTTAAAATTTAAGTGTAATTCAAGCCGTTTGACTCGAGGACCCGAATCAAGATTACGATAAAGGAAAGGAGGGTGCATCAGCATGCGAAGGTGAGATTCGGGGTAGGCCAGAGTTGGGAGAGGGCCAACCGTAGGAAGATTTGTCAGTAAAGGCAACAAAATGCGCAGGTGAGAATTGTGGGTCAAACGTTGGACGCGTTTAGTGGAGATTACGAAACAAAAATGGTTGTGACAATTAATTAGTGGTGACACTAATGATATGACAGTAGATTTTATCTATTGTCATAGTGTTGTTGTGTCTTGATTTTATTTTTTATTTTTTTATTTTTTATCTCATTAGTAATAGTTTAGCAATATCAAATTAGTGTTACCAATCACCGGATTATGAAAATAGCTTATAATTTATTTTAATAGAAAAGTTTGTGTTAAATTATTTTATTTAAGTTTTATTTATAGTTTATTAGATAAAAATAATTTTAATAAATTAATAAAGTTAATTTTTTTAAAAATTAAGACTTTTAATTTTAATTTTTTAATTTTTAATTTTTAATTTAAAATAATCTCCATCAAAAACCCAAATAAAACTGACGATTAATTGGTTTTTCTAAAAAAGAGGAAATCGTGTGTTGCAAAAACACATGGTAATTTTTGGTTGGTTCTGCATTCCGGCTTGGCTACTGTCCACCGCTTCGCTCGAGAGCTACGCTATCAAAACATGTGGGAACACGCTTAGAAGACACCGGCTTCGTTTGTAAACCAATTATTTTAATAATTTTTGAATTAAAATATAAAATAAAAAATTAGTATATTTAGAATATTTTTAGAGGTTTATTTTTAGGGTCCCTGATATTAAAATTTTACAACATAAAGGACATCTAATATTTTAATAATATCTAAGGTTCCTCAATTTGATCGAGAGAAATTTCATCCAAAAAAATTCTGCCTAGAGAAATTTTGGACTAGAGAAATTCTTTGTTTCTCTCTAGCAAAATTTTCAAATTATGTAAAGAACTAATAGCTATGGTTTTTAACTCAAAAAAAAGAGGGCAAAACACCACCACCAGCACTGATGCAAAGAGAAATGTGCACACCAGACAGATCACACACAAAATTATTGCACTGAGTACAACCAAGAAACAAAATTCGGTTCTTTTGAAATTTCTCTGAGTTTAAACTAGAGAAATCTAGAGAATTTCTCTAAACTTCACAGAAAAATTCTTATCATGGAAGAACTTCTCTAGACTCACTTTAAGAAATGTGCACACCAGACAGATTATACACAAAATTATTGCACCGAGTACAACCAAAAAACAAAATTCGATTCTTTTGAAATTTATCTAAGAGGAGAATTTCTCTAGACCAAGGAAGAATTTCTCTGGACTCACTTTAACCTAGAAATTTTTTCTCAAAACCAGAGAAATTTCCCTCACCAACCTAGAGAAATTCACTCAAATCAAAGAAATTCCCCATCTCCAAATCACTCAATCCAGAGAAATTCACAACTCAAAAATTTAATTTTTTGTCACCATTCGAATCCGACCACTTAGCTTGCGTGATCTTCTCAAGCTGAACCTGAGTATCCTTAAACAATTGCATCCTCTTAGCCTCCAAATCTTTAGCGAATTGCATCACCTACTTCTCCAATTCAGTCATCTGCCTCTACTTCTTCAATTCCCTATAAAATATCAATCATGCACCACCGAAGACAGCTGTTTTTAAAGAAACACCACCAGCTAGACCACCAGCCCTAGCGATGGCTACTGGTTCACCAAAGGCATCGCCAACGACGGAGAATGAGCCTTTTTGGCCGGCGTGGTTGTAGATCCGATCAAGTAATCAAGGTGGGAGGAAGAAGAACCAAAAGCTAGTGATCGATCCGTTAGATTCAAAAACCCTAAACCTTCTTTCAAGAACACCTTGTTTTTGCGGATCGATTCAATCACCTCCGGAGACACGTTCTTCATGTCACCTCGAACTTGGTAGTTGTAGACACCTCATTTTTGACCGACCTTGAGACTCAGACGTCACCAGTTGAGCACTTGGTGATATTGCATATGTGCTCGTTCAGAAGTTTCAGAGTCTTGGCTGCGAGCCCCGCCTCCGGATTTCCGAACCCTCTTTTGTGCCTTGTCTCGGTTTGCAAACCAGGCTCGGTTTTCTTTGTTTCTTTTCCTGAGGGGAGAGAGAGGTCCTGTAGACCATCACTCAATGGCTGTGGGCTACATTTCATGGTCGTAGGCCATTTTGCCCATTTCGGAGTCCGGTTCCCGGTTTTCGGGACCGTTGGCCGTGTGCCTCGGTTCGGGACCGCCTAACCACCTCCGTTTGTTCTAATTTTTGGCATACATCTTATTTAATCCCTTTTGAGGGACACTGGGGTCTGAGAAACCCACTTCGTGGCCGAACGCCACTTTCGGTGCTTAACAGCCCATTTTCGGGACCCCGAACTGCGCGTTTTAGCCCCCGAACATTCGTTTTGCAACGGTTTTCGTTCATTTTTGGCAGGTACCTCTGTTTTATCACCAA